AATGGAAGGGGCTGTTAATGTTCCCTAGTCTTTTATTGCTTCAAACAGTACTGCAATAAATATCTTTATATTTATCGCTCACAATGCATATCTATAAAATTCCTATAAGCATAACTGATGGGTAAAAGAGTATGGGCATTTGAAAACCCGATACTGCCAAACTGCTCTCCAAAGGGACGGCACCAATATACACTAACACCAAAATGGATGAAAGTCTGACTAATCCTTTTCAAATTTAGGATAGCTTTGTAGGCTCTGGTGCCCACTTTTCTTTCGGTGAGACCAGTGAGAACTTAGGCAACACCACAGGAAAAAAAGCAAATGGACATGAAATTCATTACTAAAATTGTTTTCTGATCTTCAGTGTCCATTTTCTGGGTGGCTAATACAAAAACCAACCAAACAAAAAAACCAGTCCTTGAAAATTTATAATCTAGTGAGTTGACCTCAAAGTATGTATAACTAATAAATGGCAAAATGAGATAAGTAACAGAAGTACAGTGTTCGTGGCAGCACAGATGTTAGCCCAGCTTGGGAAGCGGGTGGAGGGCTACTGGAGTTTGAAATCTTGGCTGAAAAGAATTACCTTATGCAGAGAATGGCAGATGAGGAGACAGTCCTGGTTGAAGAAGAGCATGTGATGAATTACAGAGCAGAAACATCACTTAAATCCTCTGCATCAGGTGGAAGGCATTGGTCTGGAGGGGTCAAAGACAATGAATCACAGGATTGTTAAAACACCCACAAAAACCTGTGACACAGAAGAAACTAAATGTTACTTTTCATCCCTGTATATCTGGGAGACATGAGTAAGGAAAACATGAAAAAGAGGCCAGCATCACTCTTTGTCAGAGTGGTTCAGAAAAGCCACTGTAAGAAATGAGAAAAGTAAGGCCAATGAGATATCTATCATTTGTTTACTCTTTTGGTGTCAAAATAGCTTTGTAGTTATTTCTCCTCCCCACCTTAGACACAGTGTTCTGAATCAGTGAGGGGAAAGGTTGCTTCATATCAATTGACCTGTATTAGTTCTTGCAAATATTTCAAAATTTTACTCGTCTGAAAACTGGGAATCACAGCTCAACCTCAGAGCCTTTTCATTTTATTCAGCAGCTTCAATGTACAGGGCTAGAAATCATGATTCTCGTTTGATTTTTAGACAGGGCTCTTTAGCTAAAAAACTTATCAGACAAAAGTCCTTAGCTAGGGGGCAAAAAGCCCATCTAATCAATTCTAATCAAGTATATGTTGACTCAGTTGATTTTTAGATAGGGTTTTTAGATAATGCATGTATGGGACAAAAGTTCTTGGCCAGGAAGCAAAAGGCTACAGCTAGCAGGCAATGGCCCATCTAATCAATTCTAATCACTGTTTAGGGATGGGATTATGTATTTTGATTATTTAACATACTGATTGTTGTTAAAAGATGTTGAAAGGATTGCTGTAGGGAAAAATGTGAAAAAATGTTAGTTAAGGGCAAGCTGTTTGTTGGTGGAAACTTTAGAGACAATTATACTTAGACTTAATCATAATAATGTAACTTTTGCTTAAATCATTTAAGGAGAGGTTATATTTTGGATTAATGGTCACAGTTTGATCAACTTAGCTTTTAACAAATTGTACTTTGGAATGTCACGTTAATTTAAATGATGTCATTAGTTTCTATTGTTTAAGCTATACTTAGCTGTAGATAACTTTTGTCATGTTGCCCATGTCTTCGTGTCCTTTTGAAATGATTGAACCAATAGATTTTTCTTGTGAAATTTCCTTGTCTTCACAATAAAAACAGAAGCTAACTTTGAATTGGAGCTGTACCTAGTTTCTCCTTCTAACAGAGGAGCTGCTGAGGTGCAGTCCCTTTGGGCTTCTCATTGCATTCATGTTGCTTTGTATAATTTTTTTTGCTTCTCCATTACACAGTGAGTAGTGTAACACCTCAACATAAAAAACTTTTCCCATTTGGAAGGGAACTGGAACACAGATGTCAAAAAGGATTCTACACAAGATAAAATCTATTATTCAGCATTTTAACCACCATGATTCAACTTTACAGTGATCTGAAGGTACTCAATATACTTAAAGTGACTTCCAAAATTATGTCCAGTAAAACAGTTAAACTCTTTAGGTTTTGAATAAACTGAAGTAAACTCCAATTCTGATGCACTGAAATAATACCTATTTTAATGGTAGTTTTCCCAAATTATTAGCCAATCTCTTCTTCTACCTAAATACTATCTTACCAGATTTTCAAGTTGATCAAAATAGTTATTCTTTCATTTGGTAAGTACCACTTTATAACAACAAAAAAACTTCAAATACAAGACTTCATCTTTATTTGTTTATTAATAAAGTAATTCATTATGATTTTTGAAAAAAAAGTTTAAAAATGTTCTGCATACTGTTAATGTAGGTTAGGCCATCCAAAAGACAAAGCAAAGAGTCAGCACTAAGTCACGATCCAGAATTACACAAATGAGAATAAATACAAGGCTTATGGTACTTGGTAAGTAAAGACAACCGAAATATTTCAAATTCATTTATATAAAAGCATATTAAAGTCACTTTAAAATAATGTCCATCTTTTCTTTTAAGTGGGCATAGACTCATCTGCAGTCACGTACAAATATAATAAACTTGATTAACAGTTTAATTTTTTAATACAAATACGATTCCTTGCTTCTTTATGCAACCCAACAAAATAATAGAGTGAAGTCATTAGAAAAATATGGACCTTTCTGAACCTATATTGCATATTTCATTTAAATTGGAAAATACAGTTTAGATCATATGAAAACACATCAATTTTAGATTTACATACTATTGTACCTAACAGATTATTAGACATGATCTTTATTTTGGCTGAAATGTAAAAATAGGATTAATTTCTTAATAACAGATTAGTTAAAAATACTTTTTATTGATAGCAGTGCTAGTCCTAGAACAAAATATAAGCAAAACATATTTGTAATTTTCTGTCTATTCAGTGCCCAAAATATGTAGATCCTAACACGAAGCCCTTAGTATACATCTGCTTTAAAGCTAACTGGAGATCTCACAAGTCTGATAATCTTTGATTTAAACAATCCTGTAAACATAGTCAAAATCTGCTTTCTAATAAAAATAAAATTCAAGTAAACATTGCATATACGATTTAAACCAACCTTACAGTTAAACTCACTTATGATACATTGGATCATAACCACTAAGTATGTAAAAAGTTTCTGAAAAATCATCCTTATGTAAAGATGAAACTAAACGTGTAAACGTGTTCATTTTTAGTAAATAATGTACTGCAGCTCTTTGGTTTGGCATACTGATATTATTAGTCAGATGCCTCAGATACTGAATATTCAAGAAAATTTGTACCCAGTTAAACCAACTCTCCTGTCTCATTTTTTTTTTGTTTTTTTGTTTTCATTTTGTCTTTTTTCGTGTCCGGCAACGGATCGCAACCCTCAGTGTCGCGCCCTCACCGGAC